AATGCCTTAGGCTGTTGATGATCTTCGAAAATTTTCCAGGCCTTTAAAGAGGGTTATGCAGAAAGTTTGTCTGAGAATGAATATTAAAAAATGGAAATCACGATCGTTATTGAGAAAACTCACTTGTTCTATAGTGTGTTCCAACACAAATTGCAGAAAGTAACAAATCAATTCGCGCAGTGTAGCCTGGTTGGATACCATCGCCAATAGTCGTTGTCGTGCCATGCTCTGGACCGAGTTCGCTGCTTTCCGCCGAATTTCCTTAAAATAATTCGTGAAGTTCGTCCTGTTGTTGATAAATCTGCTAAACTTACAGGGTCGTCGTGCCTCAAGCTGACAATCAATGTGTTCACTTGTCGGTTAATTTCGTAAATATTGCTTGGGTCGATGTTCTCCATACTCGATGCTCCCGATGTAGGCTGATAGTGAGGAACCTTAACACCTTCATTGGTTTTCCTTTCTCATCTAGATCGTCACCCTTCTCACCTGTGCATAGTGAGCTTCCGTCAGCTGTGTGCAAATGCTGAGCTGACTCATATTGCCCAATGACATTTGCGACATCCCCGACATCACCGACATTCCGCCACTCGCGGCCGACATCACTGAGCATGGACCGGATTGTACCTACAAGTGTTCCTTCGCAGCAAGATCAAATTTACAAACTCTATAAGCACTACTGACTCCACTTCCATGATAACCCGATACACCGGCTAAGTACTGGCTGTCCATCCATTGTGCCGTTTGAGCATTTCGAGCACATGTTTCACGCAAACGTACTGCATCTGCAGCATTTGCAGGACGAAAAGGGGATGCATGCGCAGAACTATATGCAGATCGCCTAAAAACATGCAGAAATTAGTTAGAAAAGTGAGAAATGTTTCATTTGAGAGGTACTAAAGATTACGTGATTTAGATTAGCCATCGCGCAGCAAACTTTTGAGAAAGAGATTACAGTAATAAAAAGATTTGTTATTCAGCATTTTGCAGCGACAGGCTATCAGGCATTTATACCGGATTTGTATCGCCTTCATACGTTCAATAACTTATTTCCAATGTGAAAATTCGAAAAAGCTTTTGAGCCTCTGGCAGCTTGCAGATGGAATAAGCTCGGCCTGAAAACATTCATGGAATTTTTGGCTATGTGAATCTAGAGAAGATTCAGCCCTTATTTAAACATAATCGTAAATAAGTTCAGAGTGAAATGAGACTACCAGAAACTATTAAGCATCCAGAAACCATTAACTTTCTAAAAACCTGAAACGCCACAAAAAGGCATCGGAGCCGAAAGAGCTGCGCATTGCGCGACCATCTCTCAATGAGGAGTCATTTCAAAAAGATTTTAAGTGAATTCTAGTGAAAATTAGGAGAGACAGCTGCATGGGGTAGTGTTAAATGTCACCTGTTCATAATGGTGTTTCAAAATGATATCACAGCTCGACATTTGTTTCATTTTCCTTTCAGTAATAAGCACTTTAACGCTAATATAACGAGTGCACGTACATTAAACTAGCAATTAAACTATTGAAAAACCGCAGGCAGGAAAAAGCCTAGATATAAACGTTAGCAGTCAGTACTGGAAAAAACCAATTATTCGATTCCTCGAGGAGGGAATGATGAAAAATTAACTTTTTGCAAAAAGAATGCTCTTTTTTGCTTTTAGAGTAAAGTTTACGGCAAAATGAAATGTCGAATCATAATCAGAGGCGATTCTCATGCTGAGCTCTACAAAGATTCCAGTGCTTGATGATTTTCCCAAAAAAAAATTTATGTCACAAGAAGGGGTTTAACTATTTCTAAGAAACTGCTAGTCATGGTCCCTGGCTACGAATTTCCACTACGAGGGTTCAACAATTAAATGTCCAATTATTACAACAGGTGTTTTTCCATGTCATTTAGAGATTGGCGCACCTGTGAACGTCTCAGATGCCTCATGCTAGGTTGTACGGACTGAATTGATTAGATCGCGTTAGAAATAAAGATCAAATTCCAAGTTCCCTTATAGAACATGAGGGGATGTGCGCACATCGCTGATACAAAGTCAAGTGCGCAACTTCATCAAATAAGAATTGACAAAACAAGCTAAAACTATATTTTCAAGCATTATAAGCCACAGATACAATAAAAAGACGGGATTATAATGAGCAGTAAAAACGAGAAGAGGACTTGCAAATAGGTTTAAGATGAGAACCCTACCTACGAGAAGAAAGTAACCACCTATTCAAAAAGTGAAAAAAGATCCATTTCCATTTTATGCAAAAAAATGTGTATGTTCTGGTTTACTTTATTTTGCACGTTCTATACATCACTGCTTGATCTTCTGACATCAATCTAGTCTGCATAACTCTCATTGACCACAAAAACATCGAGATGATTAAGAAAGTATCCAAAAGTTCTAGAAAATTAGTAAGTTTTGTAAAAACTTCCGTACTCCCACATTTTTTCTGGAATTTTCTTGAGCAATGAGATTCTATTATGGTTATCGTTAGCGGTAATGAGGACTACAAGCAGAAACTGGAAGACAAACAACTCGACGAATAACTCCTTACGCGTATGGTGTTTGCGGAGTGTTTGGACGAGCCATGGCGCAAGTAGCTGAAGATGTCGATGGAACTTGTTGGTCGTATGGCGATGGTACGCCGTATGGAGAACTCATCGGATCCATAGATTCATTCACTATAAAACAAACAACTGAAGAAATACCCAAAGTAATCAAAAGTCGGCGAGAAAAGAATATACGATGACAAGAGAGATAGTTCAGCTTATGCTATCATTACTACTATTATTATCGGCGAAAATGGTGCCAAAGAGATTTTAATAATAGAGGTATTACAAATTGAGTGATTATATGCTTGGAAAGCCGAGTTCGCGTGCCTCATGATAAATGAGTCATGCACCTGTAACCCAAAAAAAGGAAGCAAAGCTTAATAAAAATGAGGATTTAGAAAAAAATAGAGTATTTAATCAAGTACTGTATGCATACCATAAAGATACCAACAGCAACTCGTTGTTTAGAGAGCTTAACCTATAGTTACCCTAAGCATTCGGTCAGTTAATGTGCACCTGGCTTCCCATCCATTCCTCATATGAAAACAAATGAAGCAGGTGTACAACTACTCT